ATCACAATTCTGCATCTGGAACAAAAATTCAAAATTTTTCTGAAAATATGGTCCAAGACCTAGTGAATGGCGTAGGATTTTTTTTATTAATCGATTTAAAAAAAATGGCGTCGATTTGAAGCAAAAGTTTTTTTTCTTTCGAAAAATTCAATCGAAAATCGGCCATAAAATCGGTAATTTTTAATTAATTAAAAAAATCCTACGCCGTTCGTTGGACAATGTTATTGTAAAGCTACAGTTAAATTTTGAAGTCAATCGGCTGAAAATTGAAGGCGCTAGTGATACGGCCAGCTCGAAAAACATGGTTTCGAGATAAACGCGTTTAAAGTTTTAAGTAGTAAAATTTAAATGAAATTTTTGATTTACCTCTAATCTGCGATGCCTGCACCATACAATTGGCCTTCTAGTTGAAGATTCTCATGGTCGTCATCCTTTCTTGAAGATATTGCGGCCTTGCGAGCTTCTTTAGCTTCTTAAGAAAGGGAGCGCTCAGATAGCTTGATTTGATAGCTATAATTCGCCGATTTATTTCGTACGCCTTATTTTCAATTTTAGAGCAACTGTCTATGTGTATACCGGAGCACAGTCATCACAAGTCACTACAATTTTAAAACTTAAGTCTTGCTTACTGGCTTCCGTAAATTTTACTTTTTTATGACAAGTGGAACATACTAAAACTTCAGATAAAATAGAAAAAACTGAGGCGAATTGCAGTATGCGATATCCAAATGTACTATCATAATCGATATCATAATTGTTTTCAAACAATTTTATTTTTTTCGCTGACGTGCCGACGCTCTCATCTTGCTCCTCCAGTAAGTATCGATTTTGCACTTTCCACTTGCCGGAATTTCTTTTTCTCTGTATTTTCTGGCTTGTTTTAGTCCCTTTACGGGAAGCACAATATACTTTACTCATTTTCTAAATAAAGACAAGATAGATTGATAAACTCACTACAACAACAAGAAACACGTGTGGCTCACGAGTAAGCAAAACGCCATGTTTTTCTCTCTCAACGGATATTTTCGCATCATATCCTTTTACAGTTCGTAAATTTGAATAGTAGAGACGTCTATTAGTCAAATTTTGAATCTTAAAACTATCGACAGTGATTAAGATAGAGAAAAAGACCACAACTGCGCCGCACTCGAGCGCGTTTGAATTACCCGCAAAACAGCGCTGCGGTTTTTTCCGAAAAATTGACTTTTTAAATTATTTAAAAAATCTCCTCTCCCATAAAACCTTTTGGATTTCATTTTTGGATAGTTTATCGAGCATTTAAGCCAATAAAAAAAAAACGAAAAAAAAAGTCAAAAAGGTGATATAACCCCTTAATATACTTTTTGCAAACTTCGTAAATTTAAAATATTAACAAAGCTACATTCTTCAATTATTATAATTCCAGGTGAAGTTCACTTTAATAAAATTTTAATTTTAGGTTTAGTTACAAACCTTCGACATTTTCAATGAAGAAAAATCGTCTCTAAATAACTTTAGAAATCTATTATTAATGTTACTAGATAGTGTGATAGTGCAGGAGACTGCATATAGGATGAGTTTTTCGTGTTCCAATTTTTTTATGTGAGGGATTACTGCCCAGGTAGCAAGCACACGTCATTTTGACGTCCAAACTAGTCATTTTTGGTCATATGTTGTCAAAATGACTGATTATTGTTACATGACTTTATATTGACGTCTTGCTGTAACATTATTTTGACGTCATTTTTCAGTCACGAAGTGACTATTATTTTATTATGAATGTCATTAGTTAGTACATCGATCCCATAAAAAAAATCTTTTAAAATTTTTTATATGACATGACTTATTTCGCGATCAGACTTTATATATATATATATATATATATATATATATATATTTATATATTTATTTATTTATATTTATATTTATTATATATTATATTTTTATATTTATTATATTATATTTATGAAATAGAGAGATGAATTGTAGTTTAATATTACTGGCAATAACGAAAGGAATATTACTGAGATATTACTGAAATAGTCAAAATTATTAACTGATTCTTTCTATAAAATATCACTGATTTACAGCGCTGTACTTATAATTACTGTAATCAGTGATTATTTACTGTTTTTCAGTGATAATACACTGATTCACTTTTAGAGAGTGCTTTATTCGACAACATTATTAAATATATTATTATGCTAAGAGAAAGACGTCAAAATGTGGTACATGTCATGATGTCATGATGTCAGGTCTGTGACATTAGATCGTCTTTTACGTTATAAAAACGTCAATTCGTGACGTCAAGAATAGTCAGTGAATGACCAATTTAAAACGTCAAAATGACGTGTGCTTGCTACCTGGGTGATTGCAATTGCAATAAATTAATCGATACATAGGTAGCAACTATTTGGATAAGTATTACATTCGATATGCATGGTCGATACAAATAATTGACATCTATAGGTACTTTCCGATTCACACATGATGCGCATAAAGTGACAGAAAATGTATAATATGCGTGACATGAACTATACATTTTCTGTCACTTCATGCGCATCATGCGTGAATCAGAAAGTATACTATGTACCGATCAATTCATTCCAATTACAGTCGTAATTTCTCGCATGATAAAAAAATTATACATCTCTCATCGTCACGAGAACACAGCGCCTCTTTCGTCAAACGTGCGAACCGTACAAGAAAAATATGTGAAAAATGTAGCCACGACCACGACGGTGACGTTTCTTAATTAAAAAGTTTCACATTGAAACTTTTGCATTGTTATATTTCTGCTTATAGAGCACATAGAGCAAAAATAAAGACACTTTCCTGATATAAATTGAACCCAAGCAATTGATTAAATGTAATAAGAATTTGATCAATTCAGCGGTTATTGAGAACCGATAATATGCATTACTCGCAACTTAGCCTTTCGCGTAAAGATACACGGTGTGTCTTGCGCCTGAGTGATGATGACTCGACTTCAAGACACTACTGTGTGTTTTGATTCATTACCGTATGTGCTCTTTGCACAATTTGTAATGCTTTTGCTCGTTGTATAAGAATTCGTTCGTATTCATTTAATTTTGTTATTTCTTTTGGTACTGGTAGAATTTCGAGTTTATTGGTTCTACATGTTGGCGGCAGTTTGTTCTTTTTAAAATATTGATCCCAAAATTTGCAAATAACACAATTTTCATTTATTTCTAATCTTACATCATTAATAAAATTATTCCAAACTGTTTTACCATTTTTTTTGTCAACTTTTATCATGAGAATATCTCTTTTGAAACAATATTTTGTACAAGAAATACAGGCATATTTTGGAACATCTTGTGATCGTTTTGTAAATGCTTTGAAAGCTAAGTAATATTGAGACTGAATTTCATCTTCATTTAAATTAATTTCCGTAGTCACCTGTGTAAAAGTATTTGCTTTTTGTTGAGCCTCACTTACAATATCTTGAAGTGTATTTACATCAACATCATTTAATGCTTTATGTAATTTATTCAGTTTTTTATTAAGATTGATTAAATTATATATTAATCTTTTAATATATCGTATCATCGGATAATGAGAAGATACTATTTCAATAAGTAAAAACCGTGATTTATATACTTTATAATCAATATAACAGATATGAGAATGGCCTAATTTGTCTTGATTTATCTGATTGGAACAATTATAACATAAAATTTTTTTACGAAGAGTTTGTAATGTACAATTTAAAAATTCTTCAAAGTAGCATTTCATATCGTTAATAATATTGTTTTCTATTTTACAAAGAGAATTATAGTGCCATGATTTTTTAGTTTTATGTTTTGATTCTATTAAGGATAAAATATTAATTGTTTTACCTTCGGATTTCATTATAATAGGTTTAGAAAGATCAAAAGACACGGTAGTGTCTTGAAGTCGAGTCATCATCACTCAGGCGCAAGACACACCGTGTATCTTTACGCGAAAGGCTAAGTTACAAGTAATGCATATTATCGGTTCTCAATAACCGCTGAATCGATCAAATTCTTATTACATTTAATCAATTGCTTGGTTCGATTTATATCAGGAAAGTGTCTTTATTTTTGCTCTATGTGCTCTATAAGCAGAAATATAACGATGCAAAGTTTCAATGTGAAACTTTTTAATTAAGAAACGTCACCGTCGTGGTCGTGGCTACATTTTTCACATATTTTTCTTGTACGGTTCGCACGTTTGACGAAAGAGACGCTGTGTTCTCGTGACGATGAGAGATGTATAATTTTTTTATCATGAAAAAATTACCGACTGTAATTGGAATGAATTGATCGGTACATAATATACTTTCCGATTCACGCATGATGCGCATGAAGTGACAGAAAATGTATAGTTCATGTTACGCATATTATTATACATTTTCTGTCACTTTATGCGCATCATGTGTGAATCGGAAAGTACCTATAGATGTCAATTATTTGAATCGACCATGCATATAGAATGTAATGCTTATCCCAACAGATAGCACACCATCGTACAAATATCAAACTAAAAATATGTTACACGTAGATGGTCACAATCGTCCACTGTATGTCCGTCACAGCTCACAAGTATTATTATATTGTAATAAACAATCTATCACATGTAGCAAAGGTGAATGTAGCTGTATTTAATATCAGCTACATATAAGCTTAATTTATAACAAACATAGCACTAATTATATCACGTTGCCTATATATTTACTGTAGAATATATGTAATACAATTTAATATCTGCTACCTATAAGTCTACTTTAGAATTAAGATAGCACTATACAAATTGTGCTACATATACGTCTATTGTAGAACATACGTATCTTTATATATAAGCCACTTTTATGTTTATATACTTTTTAGTTATTTTTTATAAATATTATATTATTAATTTACTAATATTAATAATAACACAATATTAATCTAAATCAATATTTTATTGATATTCTTTCTTCTTACATTTTATTAATTTTATTTATTAATTATTTTATTTTATATTAATTAATTTTATTAGCGTTCGTATCTAGCCAGGATTGCCCTTTCTTTTTCAATTGAATCCTTAACTCTCGGTGGACGTCCAATTGTTATCATGTAATGCCGTTGAGAGGCGTTTTTTATCGCTATTTTTATTTCTTCCGAATATTTTTTTAAAGTAACATCGACGAGACTCGCTATATTTTTGGTAGCTCCTGTAATAAAATGCAGATTAATTAATATTATACTTACCTAAACATGCGATAAAAAATACAACAAAAAATATAATGTAATGATTTACCATAAAAGGCCACACTTATCGCAGACTCCCTGAAATGTAATTTTTCTGCTTTTCCTCGCCTCCATGTAAGGTTTTTCGCAACGAATTCATCAGTGAATGTTGCTTTCATAAATTCGTTAAGGGTGTCGCGTAAATTAATTCCTCCCAAAGATTGCATATATCCCTGCTATATTAAAAGATTACATAATAAATTAAATTATATATCTACATAATTGATAAAATTTAAGATGCAAATATTTCAAAAGTTATTTTTCTAGACAACTAAGATTATTAATATGACTATGCAGGTGTGTTGTTAATATTTTATCATATCGGGTACATATGTAACAAATAAAATATAATATGCATATAGTAAAGTTTCCAGTATAATAGACTGCTATTATTATTAAAATGTATAAATTATTATAAAATACTGCATAATACTTTTTTATTTCAAAATCCCGTTGAAAAAATTCTATGAAAGTATACTTTATGCACTTACTATTGCAGCTATTTTTTCTTTGTCTGCATCTATCGCCATGTAAGCCTGCCTGTTCGATATCGGTAACCCTATTTCATTTATAGCTGTTCGGAAATCAGTTTGTAAGTTAAATTTTCTTTCAAGTCTGTCGACACTTGCTTTTATATAACAAACATTTTCCTGTAACGTTCTGCAAATAATTAATATTAATATATGGCATTTTTATTTACATTTATAATAAAGATATTAAACAAATTATTTCATCACTGTAATGATATTTATATGTATTTACATGTTTATATTTATATATAATAGTTATATTTCTATGTAAGGATAATATAATGGTGTATTTGTTTAATACATACTGTAAAGATTTTCTTATTGTCTTCATATCATCAGATGATGTACATATTCTATTTGCGTTATCCATAACGTTACAATTTTCGTCAGATTCATCTACGTACAAATATAATTAATTATATTAACAGGCCGAGGAATTGAAATATTACTATAAAATACTATAAAATACCAAATTACTGAAAGAAATATATCATAATAGCTTCTCGTTATACGAAAATTTATCCAATATGTTATTTATACAATGTTTATTAAAAAACTACTATTTTTTGTAAATAATATTATATAATAGATGTTTCAATATATACGTATAACATTTCTTTAAGGCCACACTACAAAATTTACAACGTACCTTGTTCTACTGAAGAATTGTCACTACTGTTTCTTCGCAGTCGTTTTTCATTCGATAATTCAATGGTAGCATTTCTTTTCTTGTTTATGATGCCTATTTCTTCTATAACACTGCCATCAAGAGAAAATTGTGTATCTTTATGAGTGGCGTCAGTAGACTTCACTAATACCGCGCTGCATTGTTTTTGAGTATCGTTGAAATAATCATAACCTGTATTACTACATGTTGCTAATGGATAATTATTTTTCTCTAGATAAAAGTTGCCCACTTGATGAGAGGCACATGCGTTTTTATTATTTCCATTACTCATTATTCCGATTACACGTACACGAATTTCTCAACAAGGAAGTAAAATCTGAACTGTAAACTCGTTTCGACGTGCCGACGTGCGTGCGGTTTCTTCAATCTCTTTCTGCGAAGTTAACATGTGATGCTCGCTATCGAAGCGCCACGCGCCACGCGAATATATAGTTACATATATGTATATATGCATGCGAGGCGAGAATCGAAAACAGAACAAAACTCGTCACATTTGTTTGCGATTGGCGGTTTGATTTACTCTAATAAATTGATCCAAGTTATGCATAATTTGAATTTTAAGTATAAGTGCTAAAATTTTACAATTAACTTAACTTTTAGTACACATCACATTAAATTAATGATTAAATTAATTATTATTAAATTAATTATTAAATTAATTATTCGATGTTCAAAAACATTAAATTATAGTTAATATTTTTTTGTTTATTGACTCAAAATCTTATAAATTAAATACACAATATTACAATTCAGTGTAATGAAATTTATCTCGTGCTAATTTAATAATCACTGTTGTTCGAATAATTGTACTATTACATAAATCATTTTTTCAAAAAATCTCTCACAGTTACGCCAAAAAGGCATTTTAAAAGCCTTACACTTTATTTCTTCAAGCGGAATTATTATGGATTCTTCGGATAATTTTGAACACTTAAAAATTCCAATTTTTCGAGAATCTAAATCATCAACGTTATATAAAGAATCCACTTCCTGAAATTTCTGTACTTCCAAATGGTAATTATTTGTATCGTTTACATACAATATATTTTTCAATATGTACACATTACTATCAAATGAAATGCAACAATTGTTACGTTTATTTAAATCATACGTAAATCCTCGAAATTTTATACTCGAAAATTGTTTGGTAATTCTATGATCGGATGACTGTACAAGAGGGCCATTCCTTTTTGCATTAAATGCGTGTGCGACTTTTGTAGAAGAAATTTGTAATGATGGTTGTCTACATTTCTTTTCTTCAAATCTTTTATATATTTGTTGCAATTCTTGAGAAGGTTTTCGTACCATTTTCCGGAAAAAAGTCATATTATTTTCAAATGGAAAACATGAAAAATGATCTAAAGGTCCAAAATTACGAGCATCGTTTGTCAGATGCAAAAGACCATGCGTATTATACGATAAAAATCTTCTGCCGTATATATCAGCGCTTTCGGATACAAACTTTCGTAATATATCTTCGGCCATACCAATTTCACTCATCGATCTCTCATTGAAACTAATCAAAATTCGTATAGCGTAGTGTAATTTCAAAAAATGCTTAATTCGCTTATCCTCTCCAAATAAATCAAGCATAATAGTTGGTCCTGTATAGAGCAAAAATTGTCGATATTCTGTTGCCTTAAAACGATGTAAATAATTTAAACTTCTTGGTTTGCGAGAAAACTCTTTTGGACAATACTCAGCAAGAGTGATCAGGCGATCTGAAATTCGTAATATCACATCTGGCGATAATTTTTTAGATTGAAATTTTCCTTCTATTAATGCTTCAAATATCTTCTTCATAAGTCCCAAACACACCAAGTGCATGTAATCGTGAGGTGTTTGACTTACTGGTCCTAAAGGTAAACTATCTAATGCAGATTTACCGCGATGATGCTCGGGATTTTTAAGTTGTCGAAAATCGTTGTCATTTCTTGCTGGATAATTTTCTCCTTTGAAAATGACTGATGAATCAGTTTTGCGTCTTTCGCAAGGTATTTTACATTTATGACAACTGTTGAAGCCCGTATGTCCAACAATATTTAAGCAATCAGCCCTTGCGGGTGTGTCAGCTATAAAACATCTTACTTTTAGCTTGATTATTCTGTTTTTATAACATATTCCTTCTCTAATAAGATCTAATAATTCTTCATTGAAATCTTCTAAAAAGTCTGCAAAATTAGCAGGTTTCTTTTTTCCTGCGTATAATCCCGCAATCATAGGACTTCTATCAGGAATATTAAAAATTCTAAATTGTATAGGATAAATATCGTATTGAACATTTTTGTATATATTGGCTCCATCAGTACTGAAGTCAAATAAGATTGTTGATGGTATATCTGTATCTGCAGTTTTCGAAAGCATATTCAAAATATTAGGCTTTATTCCAATATGAATATATTCCCCGGGATTAACGATTCGAGGTAATATACGATGTCGTGGAGTTTTCAATAAACTTCTGGCATCCTTAGGCAATTTGACAAGACATTTATGTTGTCGCAAAACATATAGAATTGCATTAATTTGCACATGATTCATGTTGGTACGAGAACATGAATCTGCTAATTTTTCAGCAAAAGTCATTTCTTTTTCAGGCTTAGCAATAATATTTTCCTCCTCAATGAAAAAATCATTCCTGCCGCCGCTGTTATTGTCACTGAAATTATCGTTATCAATCATATTTGAATCAGAAGATGAAGTATAATAATTATTGTAAGACTGTTCATTATTATCGTCAACTGTATTCATTGATTCATTAGTTTCAAATAAGTATTCATCTACGGCGATATCGGTTGTTGGTTCGCTTTTATTGTTTTTAGAAATCGCAATTGCGTGTTCGTGATTCATGCGATCTTCCGATGAATGATCATTATTAAAATTATTGTTAGTAATAATATTCGTTTTAACAGTCTTGATTTGCATTTGACGACGTCGACGTTTTTGTCGCTCAGACAAATCATCTGCCTTTTTTCTTTTGTAGACTAACACTTTCTTATTCATTATTTACTTACTATTTCACCAATAACCTTTTTACTTACAAAGACGCAAGAGACGCCTCCTAGTCTTAGCTTCGCGCAAACTAGACTGAAACAATTGCCCATTTACCAATAACATTGATAATTGCTAACAATTTCCGAAAATATCATTCTAGAGAAGTTTAATTTCATTACCTATACATTTTCCCGAAAGTATTTGATTGATTGTGATATTATGCTAGATTCTTCTAATATATCTTACATATCAGCTATATTAGCATGTTTTAAGCATGTTTATGGTAGTTACTACTTATATAGCTATCAATGTAATGTAAGTTTTCTTCTATTGTAATGTATTATATTCTTTAATTATTTAATGTCTATCATTTCACGTAAGAATATCTAAGATATCAGTAAAGAATAATATACTTATAATTTTTTCTATCTATCGTTAAAGATAGAATACTACGAAATAACTAATAGTAGCTTATTGCTAAGTCTATTAAATAGGTGGAAAATATGAAACATGTTGTTTCTTATAATAGTAAATCTATATAAAGCTTGCAATTAAATATATATTATCTCGATATTGTTAACTACTAAGTTAGTTTATCCTACCTGTGCTATCTGGGTAATAATTGCTACCTATGTATCGATTAATTTATTGCAATTGCAATCACCCAGGTAGCAAGCACACGTCATTTTGATGTTTCAAATTGGTCATTCACTGATTATTCTTGACATCACGAATTGACGTTTTTAAGACGTAAAAGTGACGATCTAATGTCACTGATTCCTGACATCATGACATGTACCGCATTTTGACGTCTTTTTCTTAGCATAATAATATATTTAATAATGTTGTTGAATAAAGCACTCTCTAAAAGTGAATCAGTGTATTATCACTGAAAAACAGTAAATAATCACTGTAAATAATCACTGATTACAGTAATTATTATATAAGTACAGCGCTGTAAATCAGTAATATTTTATAGAAAGAATCAGTTAATAATTTTGACTATTTCAGTAATATCTCAGTAATATTCCTTTTGTTATTGCCAGTAATATTAAACTTTTCAATTCATCTCTCTATTTCATAAATATAATATAATAAATATGAAAACATAATATATAATAAATATAAATATAAATAAATAAATATATAAATATAAATATATATATATATATATATATATATATATATATATAAATATATAAAAAGTCTGATCGCGAAATAAGTCATGTCATATAAAAAATTTTAAAAGATTTTTTTTATGGGATCGATGTACTAACTAATGACACTCATAATAAAATAATCGTCACTTCATGACTGAAAAATGACGTCAAAATAATGTTATAGTGTTGTGCCGGCGCGGCACAGGGTGTGGCGTAGCCGGGAGAGGAAAATAATCGTTCCAATTGTTTAACAATAGAAATTTATTACACAGAATATACTTATTTATCCCTTATCTTTAGTCGGCTTTCTCAAGCCTTAATGTCGTCCTTTCCTGGATCCTTTCGTGGTTAGTTATTATGTCGGGGACTTCGTAGCTCGGTTTGCAGCTAGCCCTCGGATTCGCACTATGTCTTATCAACGGTTGTTCTCGTTGCACAATTTAATGATTAGTCTTCGCGCACTACTCTGACTATAGATTCACTGTTTATGACTGTCCGCCGCGGATCCGCGGTGGACGGCTTTTATTCCCTCAATTTTGGGGATTTTTGGAGGGGATCGCCCAGCGACATGACCATGTATGGTCATGGAGGTTTTTCCGGGTCGTCCAAAGTCCAAGTGCTAACGAAGGAAGTTCAAAGTTGAATTCCTTCGTTAGCGTTTTCGCACTTCCGGGTGAACGTTCTTACGCTTGGATCGCTGAGGCAGCGATTCTATCAGGCTGCCGCATTTCCCAACAATATTTCATGCTGACACTTATTTTAATTATATATAGGTACTAATATTTAAATAGGTTATAGTCTGCGAGGCTATAACATCCCTCCCCCGTTAAAAAAGAAAACGGAGGTTTAAACGAAGTTTTTCTATAATACAAATTGAATAATATAATGTTTTTTCCTGTTTTACAATGTGATTACAATCGTTTCTTATATCTAGCTTATACTCTTTTTATTTTTAAAACCGTGTGCTTCTATTTCTTTTCAATATTGATTTAGGCATTCTATACGATTTGTCAATTTCGTCTACTAAGGTAATAACAGCTGGTTGTTTAGGTTTTCTTTTCCTATGTTGAATAATTATCCATGCTATTAATGCTATAATTATTAAAATAGTTATTCCACTAGAGGCTGTTGTATAAATGAATTGCTTTTGTTTGAAAAAGTTAC